TATCTATTGCCCAGTTGATGGAGATTGAGGATGCTTTATATTTTTTGCTATTAGAATGATGCTACTATGAATATTTACATACATATTTTTGCATGGACTTATATGTTCATTTCTCTGAGGTAAATATCTACGTGTAGAACCCCTGGGTCATAAGGTAAAGTATGTTTATCTTTATGAGGTACTGTCATACTGCTTTAAAAAGAACCTATATCATTTTTGCACTCTTATTATGTACGAGATTTCTAGTTCCTTCATATCCTTGTCAAATCTTGGCATTGTCAGTTTTTAACGTTTAGCTATTCTATTATGTATTTAAGTGGTATTTCATTGTGGTTTTAATTTATCAAGCAAGGTTTTGACGAAAAAGTTGTATTTGCACACTTACCTGACAGGTGGCTTTCCCAGGGCTAGGCTTATCTATTGCTCTCCTGATGTGCTGGCCTCTGAAATTTCCCCAAATGTAGGAAACTCGACTGCAAACTTTGTGGTAGTGGAGGACTATATTCTTCATGCTTTCCCTGGGGAAAAAGAAATAAAAGGAGTTGTATTTCTGATTTGTCTTTCCCATTTGTAAAAGAATGAGCTGGAATGTATGTTCTGGTTTATTAATGAGTCTTCCATGAATTTGCACAGTTTCTACCAGTTCCCTATAGTCTGATCTATACTGGATAAAATAGTAAAATTGAATTTTTTAATCAATGCAGCTGAAAACTAGATCTTATACTTCTTTTTAACTTTATCCTGGTATTACTTACCTTTGAGACCATTCTGAAGCAGTCAAGTGTCCGCCCTCCCTCCCTCCCTCCCTTCTGCCCTACCTTCCCTCCTACTAATCATCCATTCTTCCAACTATAATATTTTAAAAGATAATAGGAGTTCATTTCAGAAAATTCAAACAATGTAGAGAAGTATACATAAAAAAGCAAATAAATCCATTCAATCTCACTATCTAGAGAAAACCTCTGTTGACATGTTGATGAATTTTTTCCAGATACCTTTTTATGTAAAGAAATAGCCCATGTTACAGAGTATTTGGAGTATTTAATTCTTACTACTATGTGTTATGTTTTAACATCATTTTATAATTAGCAGAAAAGAAAGTTTTAGTAAATTGTCTCAAATTACAAAGCTTAATAAGTGTCAGTGCTCACATTCAAATTAAGAGATTCTGACTCTAGAGTGTTTAATCACAATTCCGCATATGGCTGTGTAAATAAGTGTGCTTATATTCTTTGTCATAGTACATCTCATTAGCATATAGTTACATAAATATAGGTATACATTACACTTTATAATGATTTCATAATTTTTTACTATGGTACATTTAATCTCTGGATATACCATGGTACATGTATTTAACCAATTCCCTAATTATTGATATTAACTTGTTTTCTATACTTAATTACTACAAAAAACATTGCAAGAAACATTTTGATATTTAGATCTCTGTACAGTTTCTAGTTATCTTCTTAAGATAAATCCATAGGAATAAGAGTGCTTTGTCAGACTGTATACACATTAAAGATTTAATATGTAGTACAAAGTTTTATCTGCTTCTGAATAGAGCATGAGGTTGTTCTAGTCTCTATATTCTTGCCAACATTGGTTTTTGTCCTCAGTTGTAGTTTTTTTTATCTTTGTTAACCTCAAAGTTAAGAAATTATATCACATGATTGTTTGATTTGCATTACTTTATTGATAGGACTAAATATTTAATCTTTTTAAACATATAAGAAATGCACATATATTATTTTAAGATAATCAAATATACAGATGTATATGAAATAAAAAATAAAGTCCTACTTTCTACTCTTCTCTACAGAAGCATCACTGTAACAGTTTAGTATACAACTTTCTAGAGCTTTTAGCATGTACTTATGCATTTATGAATATCATGTATATGTGTAATTTTGCTTTGATACAAGCAGAAACATCTTTTTATGCAACTTGCTTCTTACACTTGAAAATATATCTTGGAGAATTTTTCAGTTTTCTTCATCTGTTATACAGTATTTCTTTGTGTGAAGTTACTATAATGTAATTAACAGTTCTCTTTATGAATATTTAGGTTATTGTTTTTTCTGCAAATATACATTACTTACTATATGCAGAACTATTCTACAAATCAATACCACAAAATTTCTGCCTTGATTATTTCCAATTTGTAAAAATGCTACAGAGGACATTCTTATATATTTTTGCAGATATATGAGTATAAAATATAAGAGAACATACAACAGGCCATCAAACTATTGGTTGAGATTAGAGATAAAGCTTGCTCTTTAAAGTTAAATTGTCAAATAAACACATAGGCAGATATGTTTCATTAGGTATACACAGGGTTTACAATTTTAAAAATTAGTTTCCAACTCTAAACAAAAAGGAGTGAACTAAAAGAAAGATTTTTGTCACCTCTTGAAAAATCAGTATACCAATCAATATATTATTGAGATGGGCTGTTAGAAACAAAATTCCATGACAGCTTGCAACTTTATATTACTAGCAACAGTGTTTTCTACAGAGAATTTCCCTTAAGTAAACTGGAAAATGACTGAGGTTTCTTGAGGCTACTTTTCAGTTTACCTATTATGTTGCCCCTGTAAGGTAATTCATAGTCATTGTACATACAGTTTGAGACTGTAGGAGTTGAAATCACAATACCTTTGTAAGGTAAATCCTGGGCAAATCATTTCAATATATAGCAAAAAAAATTACTTTAGCCTCTATGGATAAAAATCTATTAACATATTGCCATTAACTAGGCTACATATATCTTTATATTACCCATGAAGACAGGGGTCTTGCTAAACCAACTATTTCTGAAATGTGAGCAATTCCATATAGGCAAATGGATATTACTAGCCAAAAAAAAAACTTCCCCTATTAACGGATAAGTCTTCTCTAAAACACATCCAGGATTAAATATTAGTATGTTGTATGCTTAAAATTAGTATGTTTATTTAGAAGTAAATTAAAGCATTTCCTTAAAAATAATTTAGACTTTTACAAATTTAGGTTGCCTCTCCTTCAAATGCTATTCTTAGTTTGAACTAACTCTTCAGTCTACATTTCTTACTTCAGCAGAGCACAATATGAAACAAGGAGTATGAATGTTCCTATTCTTCATTATGTGATTTTTGTGAGAGTCATTCTGTCTTGCATGTGGCATCCAGTGGGATGTACCAGTCAGATCTTCCTACAAAAGCACCTGCTGTGGAAAGCACAGCTGACTGACAACCCTCAGCTTCCACACCTTTGGATCCACTGTGGAGTTCACATCAAGCCACACCTCCCCCCAGGCGCTCCCAGACTTTGATTAAACACAGTCGTGGTACTAGAACCTAGACTTTCCTGTCTGCATAGCCTAGCTACTAGCCTCACTACTGGCAGAATGCCTCCGCCATCATAGAATGCCACCCAGCAGAGCATCCATGGGAAAATTCACTTCATAGAAAAGAAAGTACAAGCGTGGGCCATGTACCTGGCATTTAAGGTTGTTTAGGTGAAGTTGGCCCTCATAGAGGACTGGAAAGGTCTACTGAAGTCACAGCTAAATCACAGTGATATGCAGACTGTCACTGCTCTAGCCATCGATATGGAGTATTGAAGCTAATGAGATTAAGTATAATAAAATGGAATGCTTAGTATGTAGGCTGCATCATTTTAAGTTCCTTACATATATTAACTTACTTCATGACAGAGGCATCATTCCCCATGGCTTTCTTTTTCTCACATCTCATATCTACTCTGTCCAATTCTATTGGCTCTATCTTCATAATAGAGCTGGAATCCTCTCAGTTCTCACCAAATTCACCATCTTGGTTCTAGGATCCATTATCTCTCTGTTGGTTTATTTCAATCACTTTCTAATAGATGTATTCCCGACACTAGTTTTCATAATCCTCTAATTCACACTTCAAGTTATCTATGATGACCCGTAAGACTCTAAAAATGATTTCCCGCTTCCTCCATCACCTTAACCTCATCTTCCGCTACTCTCTGTCTTGCTTACTCTGCTATGTTAACACCCCTGGGTCCTCCACAAACACGCAATACTCTCAAAGCTGTAGATTTAGTATCTTCTTCTGAGTGGAGCACACCCTCAGTTATACACAAGGGTAATTCTCCTCCTTTAAGTTGACTCAACCTTCACCTTGTCAATAAGGCCTATGTTGACAGTATTTAATTCAGAAGTTTTCCCCTTCACCTCTCACTGGAGTCTTCATAATCTGTTTTTCTTTTTCCATAGCACTTCCCACTCTTTAAACTTTATATTGTCTGCTTTCTCCATCCCCACCTAAGCCCCAGGAAGATAGTGGTCTTTATTTTTATTCATGGTTGTATTCCAAAAGCCTAAAACAACGCGTGATACATGAAAGACACTCAAAAACATACTTCGTAATGAACTTAGAAGCTAGATTTTCTTTTTGCAAGGTCACTGCTCTCTAGTTGTAAACCTTAATAGGCCTCTCAGCTTTTATATTCGGCAGGGGGCCAACATCACAGAAGGCCTGGGGGTCAGGAGGGCAGCCCCTGATTTAAAAATTATCACAGCCTCTAAGGGTCTCCTGACCCCAACCGTTTGGAGGACAGAGGAAGTACAAATTAAAAAGCTCAAGTGTACAGTTAGTTGCTTGGCACGGGTGGGGCGGGCAGAGCAAGCTTTCCTCCCCCTTTTCACATCCACAGTATGTCAATTTGAAGCTTACGGGACTTAGAACCTCCTCTTACCAAAACAAATACAACGCCACGGGGATTGGCCTCGGGGGCCTTGCCCTTCCCCCGGCAGCTTCAGTGCCCTCACTTAGCTGGTTAGGCCGTGCCTACACAACATTCTTTTCAGGGCCGGGACGTCCCTGCCACGGGACAAGGCGCCCATGTGTCGTACGCCCCGCACTCAGACGTCTCGCAGGCAGCTGCAGGGGCCACAGCGTTGGGCCGCGGACAGGCGCTGGAGCGAACAGCCAAGCGAGGCCCTGCGGCGCGTCACCGGAGCGGCGGCGGCGGCCTCACGGCTCCCGCCCGCGCGCCGCACGCACGCGCACTGCGCCCAACATGAGGGTCGCGGCTCTGATCAGGTAACGCGGCGCCGCAGCCGCCTCCCTCATGCCCGCCAGCTTCTTGTCCCTTCCAGCCGCCGCTGGCGCCAAAAGGGAGGGCGTCTGTGCCCGAGCCGCGTGCTGGGGATTCGGCCTTTAGTCAAAGCCACGGGAAGAGGCGGAGCCTGGAGGAGGCTATTGCCTAGTCCGCTTGTCGCCCGGTCCTGGGCTGGCGGTCCTCCTCCTCTCTTCTGGCAGTTGCCGTTTGTTGGTCATCCGGCCCTCAACTTACATTCACTCGGGGAACTTTAAAAAGTACCGACCCCTGAGTCTCACTGACTGAGGCGTTGGTTTAATTACTCCGGTGCGGCCCAGCATCACAGTTTTTAAATCTCTAAGGGCCATGAAGTTTGAGGGCCACTCCTTGACTCCACTTATTCAGTTAATATCCGTCGTTGTTTTCCCTTCTCGTCCTCGGTCCGGTTCTATAGTTCTCTTCAGTCAGTTGGGTCCTCTGTGTCCTCCCCTGGGCTGCAGTTGCTGGTCCCGTCCCCTCCCAGGAAGCCACCCCCACCTCCTCTGTCCAGCGGGTGTGCTCGGCAGTACTAGAGTGGAGTCCTTATGGCATCCGTGTGTTTCCGTTTGGGGACTAAAGCACAGAGACGAAATCTACCTGGTGGTGGAGATGTAATTTTACTGGTCTTAACGATAGATCTAGTTGCTGTTGGTTCGGACTTTCCCCATTGCTTTAGAGCAACCTTATGTTAACGTAGCCTTTATTCCAAAGGGAGGTGGAAATCTATAGTAACTCAGTTATACTTAGGTGTCTCATTAAAGTCCGATGATTGACAAATCCCAAACAGGTCAGTTTAAATATTTTCATAATCTATAAACTGAGGCATAAAGAAAGGGAACACTAGCAACATTAAAAAGGTAATTTAGGCTACTTGAATATTTGTTTCGTGGTATTTGGAATTGTGTAGAGTGTCTGAGATAACACTGCAATGATGCATATACCTGTATAAACCCATTGAAGATTCCGTAAAAGTTTTAATTAAATGCACCTGGTAACTGATACTGGCTGACAGTATTGATCTATTAGTGATCAATTATTAATTATTGGTGTGACATTCCAAATCCCTCTGTAGTGTCTGGAATATTCTAGTTCCTTCTACTTCAATGCCATTTTTAAGACTGGACCATAATGTCATGGTAATTATTGCTGTTCAGTAAATTTCCTCTGTAAAGTGAATGATTAAGCTTTAACCATTGTGATTTTCATTTTGTCTAGATAGATAAGAATTAAAAGTAGCTCAGGAAATGAGTAATTCTCATCCACTTTCAGTTTGCCAAAATTTAATGATTGAAGTAATGTACACTAACTGAAGACTTAGAAGTCTAGGAGGGGAAGAGAAAAGAAGATCTTTAGTGTAAGAAGTCCATTACACTGAATAGTTTGTAATGTGCACATGTGACTTTTATAATAAAAAAAAAAGTTACTACAAAAAGGCAGTGTTGGAAAATTCCTACTAAACTGTTAGAGCTGTATAAATGATAGGAGATCTGCTGTATGACACATATATATGCTTGATATATATATATATATGCTTGTGGTTTATTTGCCTATACATTATGTATTATATACAATCATGTATCATATATGTGTGTCTCTGTGTGTATATATATATACATGCATTTCACATACATGCATTTAAACCTGAACACACAGTGAATATTTGCAATTTGTGGTGTGTGTGGACAAGAATGAGAGATGAGATACTTGCTTTGGGGAACATTGAAACTATGACTCTTACATGTCTTTAAACCATAAGAACATTGTTTTCCATATAAATGAATGAGTCATTGAATGTTATAGTTGAATGACACCTTGAGGATTATCTAGATAGACTATTCTCTAATTTTATAAGGAAGGGTGTAAACTTCAAACACACTGAGTAACTTAACTTAGCATCCCACATTTGGAACCAGAACTCTGATCTTCTGGAGGACCTCTCCCCTGACATACACATATGTACTTAGTGGAGTTCTAACTGGGGAGTAAGGTATTCAGTCTCTCCCAAGCTGATTTGACTTTGAAAACCTTTTGTTAGAGTAGTTGGTTAACATTTGGTTGGACACTTCTGTTCCTCAGAACTCAATTTGGGAAATACTGCTTTAAAACCACATTTGAAATGTTGGCATATTTTAAAATTAATTATAATGCTAAGTTCTTATCCTGGATGCCCATCCTTCAGTCTTTAATATTCAAAAGAATTAATCAAATCTTTTTATTCTGGGAAAGTAGAGCAGTGAGGTTCAGTAGGGAAAGCTGTGAAAGACACTTAGAGGAATATCAAATCTAGAAAGAGGGAGTATGGCCTTTTTATAGTTTGCCTTATCCTTTATACTGCACTCTCTCATTTCCTTTGTGAAGTTCTAGAATTAGAGCTGTTACTGATGGGAGGGTGGTAGAGGGGAGACAAATGTCCAGAACTAAAATAAAGGGGAAAATGGCCAGCTTTTGAGATCATCAGTTTCTTGGGGAGGGGGTATGAATATGTCTAAACTAAAAGGAGGGGAGAAAAGAGAGACAGTGATAAATGAGAGGAGAAATATGTATAGTGGGAAGCAATAGAATATTAAACCAAAATAGCGTATAGGTGGCCACTCAGCCTTACTATAGTGAAGTACCACTTGCCTTGACTATGTGATATTATTTTGTCTTAGGTAGATTTGGAATCAAAATTTAGAAGTTCTTTCAGTCTGTTATTAGATTTATGGCCTAAGCCACCTTGTTCTGCTATGATCACATATATATATATGATGTATATGTATATGTAATATGTATATGATATTTGTGCGTATGTAGGGTATATAGGGTGATGGTACTAATATTGAACTTCACCAGTATAATTCAGCATTTTACTTTTTATCTCTACAGAATTTGAAATCCCCAAATATGTCAAACTTTGTCATTAGATTAGAATGCAAATCTTTAATTTGATCCTTTAATTACTGATAGTTGATGGTTGTTAGATTTCTTTTAGTGGAATAGAATAGATGTTTTCCTGCTTTTTCACTTAAAAAAATTCACCTAAAGAGCATAGATTACATGTAAATGTTTAGCTGAACTGTAAATTTAAATCCTTTTTTATCTGCAAATCACTTTGTATGTTAAAGCCAGTGTCACAAACCAAAGAGTTTATCATGTTTTATCTAGACTTGTTCTTTGTTATAATGCTGTACAGTTTCTTAAGCTTTTTTGAGTAGTAACCTTAGACATTCAGATTTATTTGTTTGGTTTGCTTATGATTTAGAATTTAAGTTTTTAATTTTTTTTTTTTTTTTAAGAGATGGGGTCTTATTCTGTTGCCCGGGCTGGAATACAATTGTACAATCTTAGCTCACTATACCCTCAAACTCCTGGGCTCCAGTGATTGTCCTGCCTCAGCCTTCCCAGCAGCTCAGACTACAGACGCCTGCCCTGCCCAGCCTGTTTTTTTTTTTTCATTCTGATTATGAAATAGTCCTTCATATAATCTGAAAAGCTGAGTAAATAATGTGTGCTATTTTGATATCTAGTGTCTATATGTTGACTCATGGTCAGTGACCTGATACTTTATTATCAATTCATTTTTTAGTGGTGGAAAGGACAGCTGTTACAATATGATGCAGTGTGTTGCTGCTGGGCATCAGATTGTTGCTTTAGCAAATCTAAGACCGGCTGAAAATGAAGGTAAGTGTATGCCTTTATTGGGAAGTTGTCTAAATGAAACTCCAGCTTCATAATTACATTCTATTATGCTGTATACAAAGACAAAAGAACCAGTATATATTTAGCATCTATTAGATCAGCTGTTCTCATTTTGTAGGCCGGGACCCACAGAAACTGTATTAAAGGGCCAAAGCATTAGGAAGGTTGAGAACCACTGTTAATTAGATGGTGTCCTCTGCATAGAATTTAGGATTAAGTGTTTTCACTTACGTATCCTTTAATTCTCATAATAACTCCTAAAGAAATGCATTATTAATCTTACTTTTAATAGAGATACTGAAGTTCAGAGTTTTTATGTTTGTCCAAAGTGAAATAGTTAGCACAAACTTACAGAATTGAGACTTGAATCCTCTTACTTCAGAGTACACTGCCATTCGAGACAATATTGAAATAGATAAGATACAGTCTTACCCCCCAAGGAGCTTGGGAAGTAAGACATATACTGATGAATAATACATGAATTTTTTTATTGAAAAGATGCAGTTCATCCTGTAGATATAAGCCAAAATGTGAGACTTGAGAGAAGTACAAAGCAATAGATTGCTACTTTTCATATCTCTATGGTGACAAGGGCATCCACTTAGAATCACAGACCTCACTTTGACTCCTTTTTTTCATTTTTTTCTCTAGTGAATTCCTCAATAAAACTTTAAATATATATGTGTGTATGTGTGTATTTTCACAAATTTTCTTTCTATGCTCTTTTGTTATACCTGTAAAACTGTAGATATTAATTGCTAAAATGTAAGAGAGAGACAGATTAGCACCTGTTGAACTTAATGTATTACTACTTCTCATGTGACTCTTCTAGGAAGATCTTTTATCATCTCTTCTACTTAACTTCTTTCCAGACTCCATGCTTTTGCATTACTATTATTTTAAAATGAATTAACTGTGTAGTATATGTAAAAATATTAATCATAGTTCCTGGTAAAAATTCAGTTGAATCAGAATTAGCATTTCCGTCCCTTCCCTTTCTTCCCTCCTTCCTTCCCTCCTCCCTCCCTCCTTCTCTCTCTTCCTCCCTCCTTCTCTCTCTTCCTCCCTCTCTCTCTCCATTCCCCCATTCTACTATATTTTTATTTCTATTGACATTTTAAAGATTGTTTCTATTCACTTTATCTTCGTTTTATGCCCCCAGGTAATGAACCATAAGATTCTTGAAAGGAGCAATCATATCTTCTGTCTTCCTTTGATTTCTCCTCAGTACTTGGGGCAGCTCTTTATCTCTGATAGGAGTTCACCCAAAGTTTACCTGTGGACAGATGTATAATGAACTAACTTGAATTGGCCCTGGAATAGTGAACAGTTATTTCAGTTAGATTATTTGAATTTTCTTTCCTTCCATGATTAATACACAA